CACCGAATCTTTTTTATAATGTAGATAACACATGACGATCGAGGAGAAATTTCTTACGGGAAGATTCATGCATATTTAATTTCGTATATGTAAATGTATTAGAAATGATATACGAATACATATAATCAGTTTATAATGTGGATAACACGTAAGTATGCATGACGAGTAAGTTTTTTTCAAATAAAACGATGATTAAGCTCAACGTACGGCATCCAGCGACAAGAACTTAGAACCGTCGATCATGGCACAATAAATCCTGACTTGAAGTACTTTGAACACATTGTGCCTTGTGGGACTGCTGATAAATAAGTTATTCTAGCTACTAAATACAGCAGCAACGTCCCTTCATGGTTTAAGGTAATGAAAACATCTTTCTATTCTTTCTTTAAAAACATTTAGCTTGTCGGAAGCAAGAAACACAAATACCCACCCGACCCCGTCCGAGTTTGGTGAAAACCCAACCCAATATTATGTCTTCGAATGTGAGCAATAAAATGCAAAAACCAAATCAAAATATGTATTTATATCGAAAAGTATACAAAATCGTGGACGAGTTGCATCGATATCAACTTGCTCGATATCACCGGTTGCATCAGAACGTGTAAAGAAACAGCCTTGAAGTGCGAGAAAGAAAAGTTTGAACAATGTAGCAAAAGTTTGTCTGAAGAGGAGAAGCGGAAACATTCCAAATTTCCAATTATGTAGAGAGGATCAAGAAATTTAAAACTTTTTTGTTGTTGTTCTCAGATGCTATAGAAGTAGAGTTTTTGGCTTCGTCTGACCCATTGTATGTGTACTATTTCGAATTCTGATATACAATACAAAGTATAAAAAAACTTGATGAAATTCTCGGAATTTTGTTTTTTTATGTTGAAATTAAAACAGACGCATGTTAGTGTTCCGTAATCGATATAGCGTTTTTTTGGTAAATCTCGAAAATCTAAGGGTCAGAAGTGCAAAGTCGTTGAATTGTAAAAGCTGAATAAACCACAACAAATACTATGTAGAAAGTCTAATCATGTTTAATCATTCCGGAACATACAATAGATAGTAAAACAAATATGTAGAAACCATAACGAACAAGGTACCCTAAAGACAGCAAAAACATGAATAAGACCCATGATAATAATGCCACAAGGTTGCAATATTTGTAGTACTAATCCATAACTGCCGAGAAAAACAAAATTCAATAAAATATGAAAGTTGTGATATAAAACTGCAAATATACATGATTGAGATCATTACGATGGTCTTGATCATTTGTTTCCGTTCTGCAAAACCTCCATCATAGCCGAGCACAAAACATCAGTCTCTGGCTCATCCGGTTTATGAAGGATAGCCATTAATGTTGCTTTGGCGAGTCCATAGGGATCTCTCTTTTTCAATACATTGATAAGTTCTATTAGCCTTGGACCAGGTTTCTTCTCAGCTTCAGGAAGTAGACTCACAAACATAGAGAGTCCACCAAGAATCACAATTGCAGCGATCAACCAAGCGTATTCCTCAAAGCGAGCGATGATTAAGCCAGAGCACAAAAACAGTGATTCAAATCAGCAGGCAGAATGGTAAATATCAGAAAACCATCTAACACCCCTAAACAAGCCATTGTTTCCATAGGTTACAGAACAACCGAAATAGTTAAATCGAAAGGCCACCAAAAAGATGATCAATTCCCAGAGAGACATGACAAGCTTTAAAATCAAGAGTTCATATATTCAACTTTGATCTCCAATAAACTCCTAACACCAACCTAAATATTCACCAGCATCTCTGATTAGGGTTATACTTCCTCAAGGCTCAAGTTTCAAATTTTCATCTCAAAAATTTTCTTTTTTTTTTTCTATTCTAGTCATCACTCTACAGTGAAAGGAAACTACCCCTAAAATCGCAACTTTTAATCTTCTGAGCTATATAACCTCTAAAATCGCAACTTTTCATCCGAATTCCATCACCCCTCACATGAACGATTCCAAAGATAACAAATTTAGCCAATGCGATCTAGAATTTCAGGGAACAAAAAGATGAAATGTGAGCGAGCTATACTACCTGCGGATTTTGTTTCCCTGACCGACATGGTACATTCCCCAAGCTAAGGCACCTGACAAAAAAATTCACCAATCATAACATTACTCTTCGGATTTATTTATTTG